TACCTCTGCACTTTACTTCCGCACCTCCTCTGAGTCTCAGTGTGCTTTTCTCTTTCCTTCTAGTTGTAGAATTTCCACTCAGCCAGCCTTCCTGTGGTTCTGGATGATGTCCGTTTTGTCTTTTACTTGTATTTTTGAAGTGGTTGTGGGAGGCAGCAATTTCCTATTTTTACTTATGCCGCCATCTTGGTTTCTTGAGGTGAAGAGAATTCTCATGAATTCGGCACAGATTCTATATTAGACATTGAACTAAACATGTTATACATAACATTTAACTTACTCTTTTTGTTCATTGTTACATTTTAATCTTTCATCAGTACTTAGCACAGTAGTTCTTAAAATATTATAGGAAAAAATGCTCCTTATATACCAAGGTTAGATTAGAGTTTCACCTCCCTGTCATCATTGCTCTTAACACTTTTGTCTATGTCTCCAATTGCTAACATTTGGAATTTTTATTTCCTCTTTCACCCAGATTGTTCCTGCTTTTCTGTTTAGTTTACTAGCCAGCCAAATAGATGGCTGACTGACATCTTTGAGACTTAGCCAAAGTCCAGCCCTAGCCAGTCTCCTTTCATGGGGGAGGAAAACCTCTTTTGGGAGTTATTAAAATTAGTATACTTACCTCAGGCTATGGGCCCCTTAGCCACCCATGTCCAGGTTTTCCTATTTTTGCTCCCCACCCCACAATTCTGGAGGTGTACTGCTAAGTGTTTTTAATCAGTTGCGGGCTATATGACTATACTGAAGGGAACCAACCATTCCTTTCACTGTAATCAGACCTTGAATTGGACTGAAGCCTGGATGTATAATCCTAGAGATGGAAAGAACACCCTAGTCCAGTGATGGCGAACCTATGACATGCAAACTCATTTTTTTGGTTGATTTTTCTTTGTTAAATGGCATTTAAATATATAAAGTAAATATCAAAAATATGTCTTTGTTTTACTATGGTTGCAAATATAAAAAAATTTCTATATGTGACATGGCACCAGAGTTAAGTTAGCGTTTTTCAAAATGCTGACACGCCGAGCTCAAAAGGTTCGCCATCACTGCCCTAGTCTTAGTACTATGAGCTGTAGAAGACTGAAATTTTCTTCTTTCAACTGTTTGGAATCAGTAGTTAAGTCAGAAACTTAGCATATGTGCTAGACTTCTACACCATTCATTCCTCACTTTTTATTAGTTACCAAGTCTTCTTAAATGTTCTCAAAACTCTTTCTACTCTTCCCTATTGCTATATCATAGTTCAGTTATGTCCTCACAGTCTCAGGGTATACTTGAAATAGGGTCACCTGACTCCTCTCCCTATCTTCTAATTTACTCTTTACTACCCTGTGAAGGATTGTTCTTTAGCATTCAGATTTTTAAAAGGCAGCAGCTCAACAATGTTAGGCAATTTGTTAGTACTGGCTCTGGAATTTGAATCCAGGAATATAAATACAATGTCTTACTGCTTTCCCCTGTTACTACAACTGTATAAATTCTCTGCACATATAGGGTATAAGTTGGAAAGTCCAGGGAGAGTGAGCATGCATGCAGTGTTTGGTTGTTTAGATGAAGTTATAGGTGAGTTGTAATATTAAATAAAAAAGATGTGGATAAATTAAATGTGTGTCATAAGGGAGAAGAATAGGTGAGTGGGGGGTAAAAGAAGCCAAAGTTAAGAAATAGTTATACACTCAAAACTCAGATTAACTGATGAAGAGGAGGTAAAATTGAGAGAAATTATGGATAGATTGTGGGAGACTTTAGAAATCAGAGAGAAAGAATAGCGCAAAACTTTTGGCTCTAGCCAGTGTTGGAGAATTGACTGTCTTGGTGTGTTAGGTAGCATTTCTCAGATGTGGGTAAACAGAAAAATCCCCTTGGATTTTAGCAGTCTGGTTAAATTTTTATTAGTATTGGAAATCTATTTTAATATTAGTCATTTGTTCTTTTATTTTTTCTCCCAAAAGTAGTTTTTTAAAAAAAAGAAAAGAAAATTGAAGTCTAGTCTGGTCTTCCTAACTTCAGAGGAAATTGAGTTTTTTATATCATTCTTTAGGACAGGTAGGAAGAATAAAGTGGAGATAGAACCTGCTAAGCAGGGAAAATGAGTAACCAAGAGAGTAGAGGACAGAGAAGTATGTATTAAATTTCTCATGCCGAGTGTTTCCTTACTGAGGAAATACATTTGTATACAAAAAAAACTTAGAGTTTTATCTGTAGATGTTCACCCTTCTGCTGTGTAACCTCTTTTTTGTAGATTGAAGAATGTGTGGTATGCTCAGACAAGAAAGCAGCTGTTCTTTTTCAACCATGTGGACACATGTGTGCTTGTGAGAGTAAGTAGCCTATTGTAAATATGTCTTTCTACTCCGCGTCCAGCACGACTAGAGAGCGGTCCGGTTCCTGAGTAGGGGCGGCTGGGGATTGAGAAAATGAGAGAAAGAGACAGACACAGAGATGGAAGAAAAAACCTGGGGCCAGGTGGGACAGCTGTCCTTTGACCTGGACAGGGACAGAGACAGTGACCCAGAGCTGATACAGCCTATTTCTTTTATACTGCAAAAAACAGGAAGTTTTACTAAAAGTCAAGACAGAAGAGATTATTTGCATTCTTGGGTGGGCCTGAGTTGTATTCATTCCTGGTGCTTGGCTGGATTTAAATAACAAAACCCACCCCCTGGCACCTGGGCTGAAGGTCAAGCTGACAACACTCCTGCCTTTTGGCAAAACGAGTTTCCAGGACGTGGCTTTGGCTTCAGCTGACAATAATGAAAGAAATGCCCATGTGCCTTCCCAGGTGTTCTCTACAGCCTATACAAACTTCCTCAGCCTATAAAAATAGAAAATGAAACACATTTTTTGATAACTTATGAACAACAAAGTTGATAGGCCTCTAGTACCTTCTGTTTCTTTCTTTCAACCAGAATGCCACCTATTTTCCTCCTTGCTCCTGACCCTTAAAGAATACTAAATATTCTGGGTTCCACTATGTCAAATTTTGATTTTGTTTTAGCACAAAATGATCGCTTCTCACACACAATAGAAACTTATTTCTAAAAATGAATGTTGAAACATTTTGTCTAGTCCAGTGGTTCTCAACCTTCCTAATGCTGCGGCCCTTTAATACAGTTCCTCATGTTGTGGTGACCCCCAACCATAAAATTATTTTCGTTGCTACTTCATAACTGTAATTTTGCTACTGTTATGAATCGTAATGTAAATATCAGATATGCAGGATGTATTTTCATTGTTACAAATTGAACATAATTAAAGCATAGTGATTAATCACAAGAACAATATGTAATTATATATGTGTTTTCCGATGGTCTTAGGCGACCCCTGTGAAAGGGTCGTTCGACCCCCAAAGGGGTCGCTACCCACAGGTTGACAACCCACAGGTTGAGAACTGCTGGTCTAGTCCTTTCTCACATATAAAATTAGCACATCTTCATTTGTCTTTGTTATAATGTACCCCGCAAATCACAGAAGGACGCCTCAAGAAGTCGAATTAAAGAGTCACATTTATTGCAATCCGGGACTATGAGGGGCCATTCCCCAAATCTCATAGTGATAAGATGGTCGCAGTTCCAAGGTTATATAGGCAAAAAATCACAAAGGTATTGATTACATCTCAAGGTTTGGAATGAGGAACCTGGTTTGCAAAAAAGCAGTTTACAGAAGCAGAATTAAGCATGTTAATTATAGTTTTGGGTCTCGGGGTCACTGAATTGACAGAAATACATTATCTAGAGCCCTCGGGTCTGGAATGAGGAACCTAGTTTGCAAAAAGCAGTTTAAACAGCATGTTATAAACACATTATCTAGAGCCCTTGGGCAACCTGGGTTAAACTTAGGCATGGTATCTAAATTACAGTTTTGGGTCTAGAGCCCTCTGACCTTGGGATAACTGTGCTGTCCTTCCCAGGTAAAGGAAAATGTGCTTTCTAAGACCAATATGACCACAACCCATGGGATATTCACATTACAATCAATAAGGCATTTAATCGAATGGGATGATTTATATAATTCAGAAAATCAAAATAACCTGTCCATTGTTAAACAAAGCAAATAGGTACCATACTTCATCTTCACCTTAATATTGCTTTTCTTGCATAATTTACCCAATACTGAGCCACCCACAGCAATATTTGGGGTTATAATTTCTGGCCTTCTTAGCCATTCTTAATTTAACCTCTATGTCAAGAGAACTTATAAAAATCTTTTCTTCATGAGGATAATATTAAAGTTTAAGAGATGTTTTAAACTTTGCCTTTATATATCCCCTTTGTTCTTTTCAAGTTCATACTTTTTCAGTGTTACTATTATCTCCCCTTTGCTTTTTACATTTGTCAATGAAGGATTTTAAACACATTTAATAAATTATACCTTATTTAAATGGGCCCAAGGTAAAAGCATGGTAACTCCTGTTATGCCCAGATTTCAGGATCCCCAAGAACCCACATCAGGGAGCCAGCCAGTCCGATGCAAAAGCATAAGAGTCTTTATTCGAGCTAGCTCGGCTCCCCCACCTTGCCGACACAGC